GATGTGTAGAAATCATCTTCTAATTTCTACCCTGTATTTTTTAATGAACAAATTTACCCTATTTAATCTTACACTGGCACTGTCCTTTAATTCAAATAGATTTCCCTCTTTAGCTGGTATTTCCTTTCCTGTCCTCCACATGAATTTAATGCTGAGTAGTCATTTTCCCCTTCAGCCTTTTCAAAGTTGAAGACTCAGCATAACCACTAGAAAGGGGTCCTCCTCCAGGCAGCATATATCCTCCAGTTAATGCCCTTGTCCTGTCACACACCCTCTCACTCCTTCAGTGAATCACCCTCCTTCTGCACGCTCACTGAGTATCGTTGTTACACAAAGGGCATTTTTATCCTGACTGTAACTTGTTCCAATAATGAAGATTCCCCATGGCCCAGCTCATAGCCTGCAGGCCCGATTTAAGCCCTGGAAAGCTTGTGTTTGGCCTGCCATGGTACCCTGGAGGATCTATTCTGATGCTCACACTACCCTAAAAATCCAAGTCCTTGTATCTGAAGCCAGGTCTTGACCATTTTCACTGAACTCTCAATTCAGCATGCTTCCTAACATGAAAATGCATCCCCTAAATAACAGGGTCTCCCTGCTTCAGTTTTCCTTCCCTTCATCATTGACTCTGAGACACACAGATGATTATCACATGGAGGCGGTGAGCCCAAATTGTCACAAATATCTGAAGTTTATGGAACATAAATTGAGTCTATCTTGTCTAAATCGCAGCTCTGAGAGCATCTGTAGCTCTGCTTTAAGCACACCTGCAGCATTGTTGTTTTTTCCCCATGTGCTCTATACCAGGCTAGCTCTGCTGATCTATCTGGATGCATTGCTGGCTGAATCTGATACGTGTGAAAGCAACACAAAGCCTTGAACTTGTTCTGCCTGCTCTGCTGTTACACTGGGAGCTGGTTAATGCATGGTCATTGCTCAATGATGTCTACATGCTTGGTGGATTGATTTCCCAGTGCTTTCTTTTAGCAGGAGTAGCCTGCATGCATTTAAGCATAACATTTTCTGTGCTGTGGATTTATTTTATATAAAGGTATAAGAAATGAGAAAGGACTGTAAATATGTAGGATGTGAAAGGGAGTGTGGATTAGTGGGTAGAACACAGAGTAGGCAATTAGCAGACAGGTTCCCCACTCCTAGTTTGGTTGAAGTTGTGAGAACCAGAGCCAGTGAATCATGGGCTGGTTGATCTAATTCTATGTGACTCTCCATGACTTCATCAATCACTGATGTTTGAAACTCTGCTCTGGAGCCTGTCTAAAGGAGTGCCCTGGGGTTGGCTTAACTGTTTATTTTCTATTTAGCTCGAAATTGACCAAATTTTTTCACTTTTTCCACCCTAGGGAAATTTCTCTTTTTTAGGTACCTACCCATGAAGATTCTTGTGCAGCATATTGTACACTGGAAACACTTTAGTACAAGCAATACATTACCCAAACCTACTGGTGCATATAAAATGAAAAATAATTAATTTCAAGGCCAGAACAAAAGCATCATGGAATATTTTAAAAAAATCAATAATTTAGAGGGGTCACAATCATGAAAAATAAGAGAAAGCAAAAAGGCTGCATAGCAATTTCAGAAAAAAAGGTTTCATTTTTGCTGAAAAATTTCAGTCAGTTCCACAGTACATGCCTCAGTTTCCCTAATTGCTGTATAGGGTTAGCAACCCAGACCTATTTTGCAAAGGTGTTGTCAAGTTTAATTTGTGAACCTTTGAAAAACGCTCTGAGTTTTTCAGATGAAAGGCGCTACAGATGCCAAACGTGGGTGTATACTCTGAGTCAGAGGCATAGACATGGGCATATTGTGTGATCGGCTTGACGCAGTGCACTAGATAGGAGACAGTTGTCCTCTGCAGAAAATGTAGGGATAGCTGGTGCAAAATCACAGATGATGCTTACACAAGTGTGAACTCATGCTATAGAAATCAGGAGCCACCCTCTGAGAGGTGCAAAGATAAAGCCTGCAATAGAGAGACGTCCAGTCTGTACTTTATTTTGGCTTCTAAATTGCCAGAAATAAATGTGTGTGCACAAGTCTTCTAAATATGGTTAGGAATTGAAGCACAAATTGTCTAACAAACTACCCTTTAACTCCTGTAGTCCTCATGTGACTCTCTGGCAGAATTAGCCAGCACTGGCAGTGGTTATGAGCACCAGTAAGACCACATGCACCTCAAGCTTCAGACAGGTGTGAACAGTAGATTTCGCAGGACGTGCTAGAAATAACAAGAGAGAGGTAGGCCCCATCTGCAAACAATTTTTTGGCATGAAAAAGACATGAGGTGTGATAAAGTACAGAGAGATGATGGGGGAAAGAGTGGGCTTGACCTGTGGTTACAGAGCAAAGCCACACTCCCAGGACATGGTGATGCATTTAGCTCTCGCTGGTCACCCATGGGACTGTCGTGGTTTCACAGGTATTTGCAAGCAGGATGTGCCCAAGGTGCTAATACCAGGCATGTAGGATGCTGCGAGAGTGAGCGGAGGTCGAAAGGGAACCAGTGAAAGTGGCATTACAAGGAAGTGACTGGCAACAGCAGGGAATGTTCCTTACGCACACGTGAGTGACATCCTTCCTTTCTTTCTGCAGACTTGAAGGAGTTCAGCCCAGACTACTGGCAAACAGATTCTTCTTCAAGAAATCCAGTCTGCACTTAGCTCCATTGGTCTGTGTATATGCACATGACCTCCCTTTTTCTGTCTGACACAGAGCATTTAAGCTGAGGATTCTCTAAAATTAAACAGCAAGGACAAATGCCACCCAAGCTATTCAAAAGCCAAAGCAGACCCTGCAGCTTTATGGAACACACCGACTGTCACGGGGGCTGACAACAGCCCATGTGTGTCTTACTGGAGCTGCATTAGATGATATACATTACAATGTCTTACATCTCAAGTATGGCCATACTTCACTAGTACTGCAACAAATGGAGGAGCTACGGCCATGGCTGGTGTCAGGGTAGGTCGGGCAAAGCTCAGCTATAACCTCACTTATTGGAGGGTGCCAGTCTTGCATGTGCCTCTGTATGGACAGAAGAATCAATAATAAACTTCCTCCTGAGCCCAGTTACTCCCAAGGCTGCCTAGAATACCTGGATTAAACTCATTTACTTCGGATTTGAATCAGTAAAACCAAGATTAAAAAATTCAGTCCTTAATCTTTTGACTGCCTTACCTACTCAAAAATCTTAACAAAGTGTCAGGAAAACAAGAGAAACCAAAGCCACCTTCTTCCAAGTTAGACCTCTTCATATAGATGTTTTTTGTTTCTTAAGTATTAATGCTAGCTTGGAACACCTCTGCTGAGTCTTTTCTGTACACGTGAGAACAGGCGCCTCCACCCTCCTGTATTTTTAATTACTTGGAGATCTATAGGACTGTTGATGTTATAAAGATCAGGAAGCCAGGGGGAAAGAAACATATATATGTCAGCCAATCTCTTTATTTTTTATGAGATTTGTTTTTAAAGAATAGCATTGTGCTTTCCTATGCCAGAGAATGACTTCTAACTCACAAAAGACTATGGTCCTATTAATAAAAAAACCTGTCCATTAGAAATTACTGCAAAAGGCGGGGCCTTTCCCAACAACTATTATCCAAAAAATACTGTATACTGAATCATTTCTCAAATATAGGGAGCCATAACAACATACAGGCAGTAAGAGGGGCCAGATCTATGAGCCAAGGGTCCCAACTGCATTTCAGTTGAAGAGAAAAAAAAAATTTCTCTTTCATTTTCTCTCAGTTTGCACAGACAAAACCCTTAGAAACGGTATCTGTAAAACAGGCATTTCCTGGCTATCTCATTCTCATGTACAATTCAAAATGTATGTTGTTCCTGTTTTGGGCTGCACCTCTATTTTCTCTACACCTAAAATGAGCTGCAAAATGCAGACCTGGATTTTTCATCCACTACTTAGGACACTTCCAACTGGGGTTTTGTTACAGATTCTTAATGAGAAATTACAGGCTGCAAATCACATTCTCCAGCAACACCACCACTGCATTTTGTGAAAATTAAATTAAGCACAAATCTTAGGCATGGTTAATTTACAATCTAGGCATTAATCGCAGAGCAATCTCACGGAAATTCAGAACGTAATCTATGCTAAATTGATCTGATATGAGTGGAAGATCAACCTCCTTCTTTTGAAGTTGGTGGAATTCACCAGTGCTTAATAAAGAGCCTTTTTCTTCTAAAATCTTCTGTGATTCCAACAAGTTGAATTTCCCAGGAATACAGCTAATGGAGACAGATCTATTTTTAAAATCCTTTCTCAGTTCTTTTTTTCTTGCAATAAATATTTTGTCCATCTAGCTGTAAAATATTTTCTCTTCTAGGTTTTACAGATGTGTGTCTCAGTTCAGGAGCTACATAAGATACACCTGGACCCTTATCTCAATGAGAACATGCAATGAAATAGGCAATGGAGGTTTTATTCTACTAGTTGCATTAGTGGAGATTGCATGGCCTGTGGGAAAAACAGGACTGGCCAAATTTTACTTCAGGTCAGCTGTGTTCTTCTGGTACATGGTTGGGGTTGGGCTATTTCCAGGTCTAGATGGATGGACCTTGCACAAACCCAACATCAAAATCAAAATAAAGATAAAAGGGTCTTTTAAACCCAGTATTATCCATACATTTCCCCTCCCTGTCCTACAGAATACAGTAAGCCCTCAGGGGAACCCAGTTTAAGAATGCTTTATTCTAGGCGTTCATTTTAATTACAACCATAATTATTTTTGTGCATGTGTATGACCCAGTTAACAAACCCATCTTGGGCATCTCATGGTCTCTCCAACCCTGCCCATCTCTGCAAGGAGGTAACCTCAGCTCCTGGCAACATGAGAAAAATTATTTTTGAAACAAGCAGTCAAACTGGTTGCTACATCTTAATGAAAATTATTAAAAAAAAAAAAAAATCTCTATGTATATAAACAGCCCTTCCTCCTAAACCTGGTTAGACAAGAATGTTCCTGGGTGTGGACTGCCTTGTATAATTAACTGCACAGCTGTAGCTTCTGATCCCTGGTAACGTCTGTTTCTTTTCTTTCTCCCTGCATCTACCTAGCATAATCCAAGTGTTCTCCTCCTCCTTGCAGGAGCGCCAGGTGCGTCACTTGGGCAGAAACTTTCCTGCATTCCACCGTCATTCTTCGCTGAGACAGCAACCGAGCAGACATACCTAGACATACAGGGTTGGGAGACTGGAACTGGACAAGACTGAGCAGTGAAGCCAATTAGCCCTGTTCTGACAATGGAAACGGGGAGTGCAGCAAGGACAAACGGTACCACTGGGAAGCCAGAGGATGTGAAGAGTCCATCTGCCCCCAAAAAAGAAGAAGAAGTGAAGAAGACCACAAACCCTGGTGGAGGTGAGAAGGAAGCTATGAAGGGCACTGGCAGTGCTTCTTTGGAGACAGGGCAAATCAAGAGCTCCCTCTTCTCTGGGAGTGACTGGAAGAGGCCCATCATTCAGTTTGTGGAGTCGTCCGATGAGAAGAGATCTTATTTCAGCATGGATTCAGCAGATTCAAAGAAGATGCAATATGCCAGTGGACAGATAGGAGATATGAGGAGACCACCCCTCTCCTTTGCAGAGAAAGGTGATCTCAGGAAGTCCCTCTTCTCCTTGGATTCCAAAAAGAGCTTCCTGCCTAGTGAAGGGGAAGGGAGGAAGTCGTTGTTCTCTGGGGGCCAGATGGGGGACCTGAAGAAAACTTCCCTTCCTCTGGTGGAGACAGGGGACCTGAGAAGATCCACCTTCAACAAGCCTGACAGAGCAGCTGGGTCACGGCCCAGGGTGAAGCTTGAGGATGTTCTATGTGATTCCTGCATCGATAACAAGCAGAAGGCTGTGAAATCCTGCTTGGTGTGCCAGGCTTCGTTCTGTGAGCTGCACCTCAAGCCCCATCTGGAGGGAGCAGCTTTCCGGGACCACCAGCTCCTGGACCCCATCAGGGACTTTGAAGCAAGAAAATGCCCTGTGCATGGGAAGACCATGGAGCTGTTCTGTCAGACAGACCAGATGTGCATCTGCTATCTCTGCATGTTCCAAGAGCACAAGAACCACAGCACAGTGACAGTGGAGATTGAGAAAGCAGGAAAAGAGGTAATGCTCTTTTTATAGCACATTCTCATCAGTCTTTCCAATGGACCTCAACATTACACCACAGCTTTTGCTCTCCAGCCTACACTCACTCTTCAAATCACGTCTGCAATGTAATTCTGGGATGCAGGGGTGGTGGATGGGATGCGTTTAGTAAAGAACTGATATTGCCTGGGTTCTGCTGCAATAGGATTGTCCTTCTCCTAAGGGCTGGTTACAGCAGTATAGTGCTGGTGTTGTGTAGCAGGCTGGATTGCAGGGGTGGACAACCTGGTTTCCACCCCTGGATGCACCACAGTCTTTCAGCAGAAGCTGAATCAAAGCCCTGCATGCTGTTTTCAGGTTTTGACAGTGTTTGTGTATTGTTACCCACAGACAGAAAGGTGGGGCATTGCTCAAGTTCAGGACCTCCAGAATACAGGTAGTCTGATCAGCGGCTGCTAGGTTACTAGCGAAAATTGCCATCTCAGCTACTTAGAATGTGACTATGGTTTTCTGTTTTCTGTTACGGATATAATAGTGCTGAGCCACACCTATGGGAAGAGTCTTTTGAAGCTTAGATGAAGAAAAAACCTTGGTGTAAACACAAACCATTATCATTTCCCCTGAAGTGTTACTACAATAGGTTTAGAGGATGGACATCTAAGGAGATGAGGCTGCTATGTGGAACAGTGCTCATTAATGAAAAGTCTTTCACCTTTGTCTGCTTAAAGTCTCATGCTGTTTGCTTTCTGGGTGGATGTATGATCATTCCACTAGCTCTAGTAAAGATCAGGGTCTTACCATGTTCAGTGCTGTACATCTCCATCGTAAGAGCATGTCCTGGCCTAGAGACCTTCTGATCTAAGCAGACAGGACAGGAGAGACTACAGAAAGGAGACCCATGAAATGATAATGTAAAACAATTTGCCTAGGGTCACACAGCCAGTCCATGGCAGAAACTGGAAGGGCACTAATATCTGCTAAATCCTACTCTTAGGCACAGTCCAAGCCAGTGCTCTGATGTGGTGAACAGGCAAATACAAGTACTGGCTGCTGGAAATTCTTGAGTTACCCTTAACTTGGAAGAACAGTTTAACTCTTTCTAAGGTGCTCTGAAGATTTATCTCATAAGGCTAAAAGAGCATCTTACCTAGAGCTTATCTCTGTCTTCCGGTGCAAATTTTTTGTATTTTCTTGCAATGTCATCTCCAACTTGCAGCCTTGCTAAAACCAGACAAGATTTCTTCCATGTCTCAGCCAGTCTTTCTTAAAGAAATTCCTGCAGGGCTTGCTAGCCTGCTGTTTGTTTCATAATTGCTTGTTCTTGTGTTTTTGATGTCAGCTCTGGTCATAGAATATGCCTCACTCTCATACAACTGTGTCTAGTGTCTGCCAGGTTGTCCAATTCCTCTCAGTTGTTTCTGCTGAAAAGACGTTAACAGTTGCTCCCCAAGGAACTAAAGATAGTCAAAAGCCTTCTTCCTATGGTTGGATGGACCTAGAACACCTTGCTTTTAAACAGGCAACCATAACTGGGCAGAGAAGACTTTACCTAATATTTAAACAATGCTTGATTTCTTTCTCAGAGTCCATGTGCCACTCTTGTTAGATCCATGCTTTAGATCTGTACTGTACTGTGCTGTTTCTGCTGCTGCTAAGCCTAAAGGAATTAGGGCTTTATCAATATGAATCATACACATGTGCAAGTTTCTCCTGACAATGAATTTTGATCATGTTGTAACTTGAGTGAGTATTCACTCAGACAAAAACAATTAACAGAATAGCTGTTGCTTACAAATGTTTATTCCTAGCCCTGATTTATTCACCATAGGTGGAGTCTTAGCAAGAACCACAAAGAGGAATAAACGTTTCCAAGTCCCTCATGTGCACCACCTATTCTTTTCAAGTCTTGCAAATCAGCCAAGCTGGAATGTGACCACAATTGGAAGAGTGGCAAAGTGTGGCTGGTGCTGCTGGCCTTTGTGGAAAGACTAAGCAAAACCCCCACATCTCAGGTCATCCCTATCCCTGCCCCTTTTTCACAGCCTGGCATCCAAGCATCTCCAGGGTAGCTTTACTACCTCCTAATTTGCTAGTTATGCCACTGGACCGGTGACCAGAATACAGCTGTATCTGGACAGACCCTTTCACACAGCATTGATTGTAACAACTGGTTTATCCACAAGTTTTTCCCAGTCCCTGTCTATACTCTGACTCCAAACTTGGAGAGGATTCCAGAACTAGGCAGGGTTCTACGCTGCGGTGCACTTAAGTCTGACTGTCAATGTGGATGCTCAGCAATTTGGTGGCACAAAACTGTCACTTAATAAGGTGCAATATGCTTGTTTTAGGTACATCTATTGTGTTCATTTTGCAGAATTAATGCAGGTTACAGTCTCTTTCATGAGTTTATCTTTGCTATATGCTTCTAGGGCAGACAGGTGCTGTACTTTAGTGTTGGGAAAGCAAAGGGATAGTTTAAGATCCTTCTGTAGAATTAGGTAACTCTGCTTGCTTCACTAATGCAGACAGAGACAGTACAGTTTACAAGTACAGGAATGCAAACAAGTCAGTATGCAGACACCCACTAGTTAGAGCATTTAGGCAAGCAGTAGAAGCCTGCTATCTCTCTGTCTGTGACGCAGAGGGAGAACACCGCATCATCTTCCACTTTTCAGGAGCCTGGGGTGAGAGTCACTCATCCCCCTTTTCCTGGTGTGCTGCTGAGCAGACAAGAGTGAAAAGCATAGGGGGTCAGACAGAGACAACTTGGTAGGGAAGACAGACATTTTTTCTGAGTTTCCACGCAGTCGTATTTGCGTATTTTACCCAGCAAACCCTTAATGACTTCCCCAGATCCACTTTGCATTCGTTTCCTGCTACAGATTTAAAGGAAAAGTAACACCCCCACCAGGATCAGTACTGAAACAACCAAGAAATGTCTGTGAGGCTGGGTGATAACCACACACAGTTGAAATGGGAGAATTTTCAATAGCAGCTTATACACTCAAATAAAACTCCCTGGCCTGCTTGCTTTATCAGCAGAACTAGAGCCCCCCTTTCGGATGGCATCCTTCATTTTGAAAGGGGATCCTTCATTCAAAACCTGTTTTACAGGCCTATCCTCACAGGGAGACAAGTTCACATATGCCTGCCAGTCACAGAGCTGTAAATAACCTGGTGTTACCATCCATTGCCAGCCTTAGTACTCAGCATGTCAGGTCACTTCTAGTGAAAAGCACTTTGATTTTTTTCTTTAATTTTTTACCTTTAAAGAAAAGTTCACATTGTACTACTGGTTTAAAGAGGCAGCAGAGAACTGCCATGCAGAAACGGGAGCTGGGTGTTCCTCATTTCAACAAAGTGACTTTTTAAAGGGGAGACTTCACAGAGTCTGAACTGGGCTTTGAAGTCAACCGTCCACAGAGATGGATCCAGAGGGATTTCCACCTGAGCCCTCTCTGTATTGCTTTCACTGTCTAAATAGAGCGCAAACAAGAGTGTATAAATATGCCAGTGGAAGGATATTTGGCCTTCTTCCCTGGTGCAAGGTTAGGGCACAATGTGGCTGTGAGTCCTTATCTATACCAGTGGTTGCTCTGCGGACACAGCTTAAAATAGATGCTCCTTCCACAGAGATGGTGCAGTTACATGCAGGACGTTCTTCCTAGCTGGCAGGCTGGGGAAGCTGACCTGCTGCAAATAGCGATTTAGAGCAGATTGGGCTATTTGCCTGCATTCTATATGAATGCCTCTACAGTGAGAGCAGAACCCAGAGAAAATCCACCTGTTTGCAAGTAAGGAATTCTCTTCAAGCTGTGCAAAGTAGAGAGCCTTTTCTGGCCTCAGCCCATGCAGTGACTTGTGACATTTTTGCAGGAGCCTAGCATAGTCTCCAGAGATTGTAGCCCACTGATACCCACGCTGTTTAACAAAAGCTTAGACAGAAAAATGTAATGGCAAAACCAGCAGAAATAATGTCTCAAACAATTTGCTTATCTCAGCCATGTCATTTCCAATACAGGCCCTGTACTAGGACAAGTAGATTAAATGCTTCTACTCTACCTTCATTATTGCATTTGGTTGTTGCTGTCACGTAATTAGCATAGCTCTCCCAGGCTGGTGACACTGGGGTGTTCCCTGATTCAGGGACTGGGTTCCCAGAGCATTAAGACATGATGATGCTTGTATTGCTGCCTTGCAAAAATGAGTTGCGTCATGATGCAAGACTCATAATCTCACATCTCCAGGTCCTTTACAGCACAAGGGCTGGCTTCAGTTATGGATCTTTAGGTGTACACTCTGAACTTTCACTCAGGCCTCTTGACTGTCCTAATTAACTTAGGTTCTAATATGGGATCCTCTCAACTCAAAGACTCTCAGTGCCAGCATTTCCCAACTTGCTATAGCCAAACCAAATGGTCTAAACCTATATTTCCTGAATCTTCAATATTATTGTTATTTCTGTACAGTAGGGACTCCCTCCACAATGGGTGGAGCGGCTCTATTATCTTTCATTAGGACTTTCTGAACCCCAAGTCTCACTCAATGGATTTGTTCTGGGTGGTCCATCACATAAGGGAATCAGGGATCGTTGACCTTGGAAAATCTGAGAAATATGAAGAGAGCTAGGAGGAGAGTTTCTTCATAGGGAATGAAGCTGAGAAGTTGACTGTCCCTAGTACCTGTAAGCACCCTACTGTAAATGTAACACAGGATACATGTGGACAGCTAAAGCAATCTTCCAGCTAGTCCCAGGATTTTTTCTATGGTAAGACTAGTTTTGATGTTTGGACTATCATGTAATGGAACACCTCCCTTCACCTCTCTTGCCCTTGTGGGTGTCTGTACTAGTGTTTCCTTTTGCCTTCAGTATGGGCGTTTTAACCCAAGCCAAACCTGGATGACTGTGGTATTTGCTTTCTGACTATTGGAACTATCTCTGTAATTTCCATGTGCAAATCATAATTCTCACTCTAAATTGTAGTGTGGGTCTGCTCTTAAAGAGTTGCTACATCCCATCCCAGAGGCACCCAAAGTACCTTTCTGGGTGAAGATATATTATAACTGCAGCAAGCTGGTAAGAGTTAGCTATCACTTTTGAGCAAGTAATAGTTTGCAAAATTACTTTGAGACCCATCTTAATTAAAAAGCACTATAAAAGTAGAGTATTGTTATCATCACCTTCCAGCCATCACCCGAAATTTTTTCCTGTTACCTTTCTTTTCAAATCCCTTGTGTTTGGGAGTGTCTGCATGACTGTGAAAGGTCTGCTCTTCCCAGAAAAATCCCTCCAGTCCTTCTCTGCATGATTTCACTCTTATTCTTGTCATAAGAATGTTCTGATATTTAGGAATGAGGGAGGAAACAAGACCTCCCATTACTCAGGAAATGTGCTTTTTACTTTGTTAACAACTAATGCTCTGTGACTCAAGGAAACAACTTGTATTATAGTGTAATTTCTTACACTGGTTACTGCCATGCAATGAATATCTGGATCTAAAATACTTTTGTTTCATTGCATTTCCCTGCTATGCAAAGATGGTTGCACACCTTTGTGTCTTGATGCAGAGGACATCTCACAGTGTGCATGAGAATGGAAAAAAACATGCATTACTCCAAGTCAGTGTCTTGAAAATGTTCATGCCTTCACTATCTTGATCAGTAGTAGAGTGAATTTTCTCATCTTAATATGTTCATACATTGATTCCCTGATGAGCCTGTACCACAAAATCCTTCCATGTCTGCTCTGAACCTCTGTAGAATAAGAGCTTCAGCTCATGATGGTATTCAGTTGACTAGTGAAGGCTGTCAGGGTGTATGGATAATATTTAGAGAGCCAGTGCTCTCCTAACTCTCAACAAACAAGGAAAATTACAATGACAGTGTGACTATGCAGCTCTTCTGGCATTAAGATACCTCCAAGTATGTTTGCCTTTTTTGTTCCTCCTTTCTTCTATTTTATAAGGCAATAAAACAACTATCAGATTGTTTTCCCTCTATAAATAGAGATTTTCTAAATTGGAACAGCTAGACTCAATGGCTCTCAGATGCAGCTGTGCTTGATTCAAGCTCAGGAGGGTGTTCAGACACTACAGTGACTGGCACCAAGACAGGAGCCCTGATGGGTTGATTTCCTTGGTCTGAACTGGTTGACAGCTTGTTGCCTGCCCTTCATTGTGTGATGCTGGTTTCCACTCTTTGAATGGAAAATTGAAAACTTTTTAACTCCCGCCCTAAGGGCAACCATGAACACAAGAGAAGACCCAGGTTTTCACATTGTATTGTGTTCTTGGATGGGTGGCAAAGCAGTGGGAACTATACTTTGTGTTTTAGCAGCAGGGAGACCTCTCTATGTTAGTTGCTGCGGAAGTGGATTTATCCCTCATCTCTTCTGCCTCTAACTGTTGGCCTAAATGTAAGTGCTTTGGGGTAATACAACCCAAAGGATTTGCCAAAGGATCCCACATGAACAGTGGGTTTTCAGAAGTTTTCTAAGGCAACATAGCTCAGTTGTGGAATACAGGTAATTTCTGCCAACTGCATAGTTCCTAAACAGCTCTGGGGATAAGTGTCCCATAGGCAGGTTGCCTGCAGTTATAGCTGTGCTGTGACCAACCTGTACACACATGAAACAGAGAAAGATCTTGAAATGCGTAGACAAAGGCTTTGTCATGATCTCTTGGGCAGGGACGTGGTGAATATGAACAACTGAGGGAGGGGTTGCCCAGAGTTAACGGCACAAGGCATTACTAAACAGCCAGGTCCTGGTCTGATCCAGAGACACGGCATGCACACAAACCGGCGTGTTACACCAGTGCATGGCTGCCCAGCCCTCCGTGGGCTCCAGTTCTATGAACTGCCCTGCATGCAATTGTCTGGTCTGAGCTTCTCTGGGAAGCCAGTGCAAAACGAAATGCAAATGAATCCCAGTGAAGCTGCTGATCTAAGCCAAGCATGGCCGACTATACCTCCTCCCTCCTCCTTTTGTGTTTTTTATTTTTTCCAATGATTCCCCAGCTTCATCATAACATGAAAGCTCTCAATTCAGAGCAAATTAATCCACAATCCTGTCTAAACAGAATTCCTGCCGGAGGCATCATCCTCTTGTTGCAACACTCGTCAAACGTCATTCCGTAATTACATGAAAACTGTTATTGCTGCAGAGGCACACCCTGGGATGGGCCCTTCACTGCATACACAGCTGAATTTTGAAACAGGCCTCTTCCCCCTCCAGCTAATGACTCTAATGTGATTAAAAGCAGCACCATGACAGTAGCCTAGTAGGTGGGTGCTTCTTCTGCTGTCTTTGCTGAGGGAGCTGAATCTCTTGACCCAGCCAGAAGCTCTGGGATCTTGTCCAGTGTCAGCACATGATCTCCATTTCAAGCAGTGCCAGGAACCTGTACCTTCCAGCTATTGTTCAGGGCCAAATGCATAAGTGGAAGCACAGTGCCTCTTTGAAGTGGGCCACCCTCACCCCCAGTTCATGAGACTCCCCTCTTCCCACAGGCTGAGCTTTCACTGCAGAAAGAGCAACTGCAGCTGAAGATCATTGAGGTAGAAGATGAAATGGATAAGTGGCAAAAGGAGAGGGACCGTATTAAGGTGCGTATGGGATATTCTTTTAGTTCACTTCTCTGTTTCTCCCCTACTTGTCACTTTCTTTTCCACTCTCTCACATCCCTCTCCTCCTTTCCTCCATTTCTCTGACATACTGAGCTCTTACTCACTCCATCCCTTACCCAGTCTCTATCTCATCACTCTCCAAAACTCGCTCATGCCAGATCTTGGAAACAACAACTCCCACTGAAGTCATCTTGCAACATACCCTGCAGGAGATCAAGAAGAGGCAGCACAGCCTTGTTACAAAATGATCCAAAGCACCTCCCTGCTTTGGGTCCCTTACAGTTCTTCAGTCACCAGGAGCCAGGCTGATTCAGAAACAAAGGTGTGCTGCTTTTTTTCCTGCTAGACCACACACAAAAATAAACTCCAGACGGGCTCTGGATTTCCCAGAGTTAAAGCAACAGGAACAAATGCAGTTACACCAACAAACATCTTATTTATAGTGGAACAGCTTACTTCCATACTGATATAGAGTTCCTTTATAATTCTTTCACCATGTGAAGGGTTAGAATACAATGGTGTTATTTTTTTTCATTTATACCCTAAGTGAATAGAGCAGTGAAAACACTATTTGGAGACACCCCAGAAAATTTTCATAATATTAATAAGCAAAGGCATTCTTCTCCCTTTTATGTGGTACACGCACACTGGCTTGCCAGTTCTGCTTTTTGTCTGCTTTATTATTATGATTATTACTATTATTATTATTATTGGAAATCTGACCTAGAAATTTTAACTCTGAATATATTTATATCCACAGTCCTTCTGAGGAGTATTTCAGGAGGACCTAGAGGTCAGGTTTGTAAAAAATGTTTCAGCACCTTTCATCCTTTGAAATGGCAGGAATTTGATCCTCAAATTCTTGAGGAGCCAGAACCATGATTTAGAAGGTTAAGCAGTGTTTTTAAATATCACCTAAGAGTGCAGCTCATTAATTGAAATAAAAGATATGCTCTTATAATCAGGAAGACAGAATGCCCTTTAGATTACATGCACACAATTATTGCAAGAACAAGTATGACTTCTCTTGGCACAACTTTTGTGGTGCTAAGACTTACATACCTAGAGGCTCCACAGTCACAGTCTAAATGATGAGAATGCTTGGACATATCCCCCTCTGTATCCCTCTATCGGCAAATGATTCCCTGAGAAGTTGAGTATTTTATTTCTCCTGCGTCATTTCTGCTGCCTCCTCGCTCTGCCCCTTCCCTCTGCAGAACTACACCACCAATGAGAAAGCCACAGTGGACCAGCATTTCAAAGAGCTGATCCGTGACCTGGAGAGGCAGAGGGATGAAGTGAAGGCTGCCCTGGACCAGAGGGAAAAGATTGCATCAGAGAACGTGAAAGAAATTGTGGATGAGCTGGAAGAGAGGGCAAAGCTTCTGCGAGAGGACAAGGAGAACAGGGAGCAGATCCACCAGATCAGTGACTCTGTGCTCTTCCTGCAGGTAACTGAGATCTCATTTTCCTTTCCTTCTATCCCATAAGGGCAGAATTTGTCCCAAAGTCAAATACCAAGTTGGTGTAAGATGCTTTAATCTACTCCAGTTTAATGCATGTGTATGGCAGGAACCTACCCTGGTATTTGAAGCTAACTCTGCTCTGGTAGGTGAAGAATTAGCTTAGGCATGTCAATACCTGCTTTTTTTGTAGATCGTTACAGCCCACAGGCAGAACATTTGTCTGTCCCCTCCATCTTCAGTGTTCTCATTTGCACATCATACTGTTTGGAGCCTAACATTACCCAGTTCCCTAGCACCTAGCTTCCATCTCTTGCGTTCCTCAGTAACCTTTCCTCCCATCTTTTTGGCAGGAGTTTGGGGCTTTGATGAGGAATTACGTCCCCCCTCCATCTCTCCCAACATACAGTGTGCTGCTTGAAGGGGAGAGCATGAGCCCATCTATGGGACTCCTCAGAGATGACCTCCTGAACGTCTGTATGAGGCATGTGGAGAAGATCTGTAAGGCAGACCTTGGCCGCAACTTCATAGAGAGGAACCATATGGAGAATGGTAGAGTATCTGAGATCTGCCCCTTCCCTCCCTACCTCGGCAAAGCCTAGTGGAGAGTTAGAGGCGGTGAAGTGTGATGAGTGTGCTCTGACAGAGAAGAGAGTAAGCAAGGACCTAGGGAAAGTGAGAGAAACACTGCCTGTAGCTGGAATTCATTCTGGAATATCAGAGCTACCCTAACAGACCTATGTGGGGAAGGAGCCAGTTGAACTGCCAGGGATTTAAAGTATCTCGTGTGTAGGGAACCCAGGGGTCCAAACCAGCCCCGCTTCCTTGAACGCTGTTTCATGTTACGGCTTTGCAGTGTTCAATTGGTTCAGCCACATCCTGCATAGGACTTCAGAGCAACACTCCTATTTGGGTTGAGAACTGTGACCCTTCCCTCCTGCAAGAGCCCAGCAGGGACACACTGCCTTGCACCAGGCTCCAATGAGCCCCTGCAAGTTTAGCATGACAGTTTCTATGTGGAAGACTGCACAGATATACTAAGGCAACTCAGTGGCTCACTAGGTAAATTCAAAAGGCAGTGGCAGAAATATGAGTGTAGCCATCCCAGTATGGCAATTTTGAAATCTTGTCATTAGCCTATTTGTTCAGCTTGCTTAGCACGTGTGCTGTGCTGGTATGACATGCCATTTTTCAACGCCTGTTTCAGCCACTGCTTGCCTGGCTGGAACATGAAATACCCTGCAAGCACCTGCCACTGAAAATCTTGTAACAGATCTTCCAAGTAAAAAGGTCTCTGTTTTGGCGTTCAGGTTAAACTACAACTTGAACTGGCATAACTCTCTCTGATCATAATTCTCTGCATGTTCCACCAGGAAGAGCTTTGATTCCCACCTGCCCTCAGCCAGGGTGTTCAAGTGACTTGAAGTGCCAAATGGTCCCCACACTTCAGTGATGTTTAAGGATGGGAGATCTTTCTTATGTGAATAGAGAGGTCATGGTCAATACAGGTTTTAAAACACACTTTCTGCGTCTCCCAATTAGTTCTGCAGAAAGGACTTTTCTTGCATCAAGCTCACATGTAAGATTAGGAGAACAGGCCACTAGAATGGGACTCCAAAACCGAGATTCACTTTTCAGCTCTCCCACAAACAGCCTTTGTAACCTTAGGCAAATTACTTAATCCCATGAAATGACCTTTTGCACTAAGAATAATAGGGATTGGAATTACTAGTTATCTCACCAGGCTGCTATAAGGTTATAATCTGTGAATAATTGTGGAACTCTAGATACCTGAACAATAAAGGTCAAGAAGCTGGACAGGTAACATGAGGATAAATTGCATCCTGCTGTTCAGGAGAACGTGTGTCTTGAAAAGGTGCAGGAATAATCTCAAATCCAGTTCATACAACACAAGCATCTGAGGAACTCTGCTGCAAATCCACAAGATCACTGTTATTTCATTCAAATTCACAGTGCTCACTAGACATTCCTCCCATATTAATACCCCACCTTTTTCCTGGGCAACAGACATGCAAATCACTCCAACTTCCTTCCAGAAAAGACACATCTACATACAAGATGATATGATGAAGGATGAGGGGAAGAAACAACCAATAAAAAAATGCCAAAACCAAAAACCCAGACAAAACCCAGCACGCTGAAAAGATGCATAGAGGTCAGAACAACATAGGTTCAGTTATTGGTCCACATGCTAATGTTTTTCAGAGCCTGCGTTTTGTGAACCAGCCTGTCTGGCATTCACAATCCAGAGCAATAGGAATGAAGTTGACATGGGACCAGTGTACACTTAGATCTGTAATGAGAATCACTAGTGATTCTCAAGTGAATCATAAAGTGGCAGGCCTGCTGTCTTCCTAGCTACGGAGAGTAAGTCCCTGGCCCCAAGGAGCCTGCGTTACAGTTAATTAATGTTTATCTAGCACCATCATTCTCCATTAGACATTAATTAGATGGACCAGATACTTTGAGTCCAGAGAACCAACCTTTCAGAAAAGGAAATCACATTCAAAGTGCTCACGATGCATAGCTAGAGACAGATTTTTAAACTCTCCCTACCCTTAAAGTAGTGCCAGAAATTGAACATTACTTGTCTTCCAACATTTAACCCTGCAACATACCTGGTCAGATTCTCAACACTCCATTTGCTGAGAAATTTTCCTATAACTTAATACAAGTTGATGACGGGCAGCTCAGATCCAAAAATCACTTTTGTACATTTTTCTTTCTTCTTTGGTCACCTGGAGATTTGCAGAGTTTCCAAGCTCTGGATGGCATAATGCCAAAGGGGTTTTGGATGCCTGAATACTCACAGCACTTCTGAAAGCTAGATGAGTAGCATAAAAGCACTTTGCATTCAAATTACCGTAACTCAGGAAGATACCTTCCATCTGCTGAGCTGTTTTTTGCCAATCCTGAAGCAAATACATTTTACTTGGCCATTTGTACAAACCAACAAGAGTATGCATATGTTCAGTTCTAGTAGCTCTGGATAAAGACTAGCTACTTGATCACTGGATCGCTTTTAATTAGGGTCCCCTCCATGTTACTGATGCCAGAAGTCCTCAATGGTACTTGAAATCTGTGGGATTCAAGTGCCAAAACATTTCTGAGCAGGGCAACAATTAACTACTGCCAGAAACCTGGGTGCTTTCAGAGACTTTATCAGGGATTTAATGGACACAGCTTGGAGTCTGCCTAATGAGAAGAACAGTGGTATCCACTCAGTTGGGAAATGTTATTTAAGGAGAGTCTCAGAAACTTCAGAGCTCTCCGTTTGTCAAACCACAGTTACACTTGAAAGAGGACAGCACTCTGCATCTAGTGACAGCAAGGAAATAACTCCACAATTATTTAATGGGTTTAATTAACTCAGACTCCCCCTGAGTCATTGCAACAAATACATTTGCAACTTGCTTGATCTTCTAGTGTAAAAAACTTCCCAGGAAGAAATATTACATTAATGGAATGAAACTTGCTTAATAGCAGACTCCAAAGGGAAACTACATTTTTAGTTGTCATAACAGATACCTACTTCGTAGTGTGGCAAGGAGGCAAATAATCAGAGACCATCCAGGGAGTTTAAATAACACAGAAATAAATTAGAGAAATAACATAAAAGTTTGTAGAGTGACTTAAGAATCAAGGAATGGAACTATTTAAACACGGGAACCAAATTTACCCCCTTGCAGAGAATAACAGGTTTATATAACACTTGAGGCCTTAAAAGAAAGTATTTTTATGAGCAACTGTACTGATAGTGCATAATTTCCTGTGGATCAGCGTCGGAAAACCCAAAACCAGGCTGTGTAATACCTGGCAAAAGGGTAGGTTTCAGCCATTTTGCATGAAATCCGAACCAAATGTCCTTGTCCAAGAGCCCAGGAAGCTAGAGCTGTTTGCAACTCAGGTTTAGCATCTTTCTTTAAAAATAGAAAAAAACAACCCATTGAGCCTCCCCAACACTGACTCTCTTGATCTTTGCAGTACTTGCTGTTCGAGATCTGCTGATTGAAAGCCAGCACTGTACACAGGTTAAACACACAAAAGAAGTCAAACCCAAACCACTGCTTTTGAAGTAGGATACATTTTTAGCCACATAGCAGTATTTTGGTAGGAAAATGCCTCAACCCTCAAGTCTCCCTATGGATTTTCAGGAGATAGCACATTGACTGCATGGCTGAATACTTAAGCTATGCTATGCCTTTGAGGGAGCTTTCTCTTTTATCCCAGGCTGAACCTCTGGGTAGCTACAGCACTGCTTTACCTCCCAGCCAAAGAGTCCCACAGAAGAATGAAAAAAAAAAAAAAAAAAGAGGAATTTGTTTTCAAAGAGCAGAACCATCTTTCCTGCAGCACTTGAGGAATCAATTCCAATCTGTTGTCCCCTTCCCCTTCCTCCCATCCTTCTCAAAGGCCACTTAACTGCCTCCAGCTCACACCCCGCTCTGCTTCTCCAGGTGACCATCGGTACATGATGAACAACTATGAGTGGAACCAGCCTGACAACTTGAAGAGATTTTCCATGTTCCTGTCTCCCAAAGGTATGGCACCCTAATGGTGGTCAGGCTCGCTCCAAACACAACATAGAAAATGAACTTTATTAATGATTTGTCCCAAAATTTGCTTTTCCTCATATTTCCTGCTGTCACCTGGATGAGATCCATCCCTCTCTCCATTTGTTTATGCTGGGTCTTCTCTCCAGCCCATAGAGCTTTGAGAAGTTTTTGCCTTTTCATTTCAAACAAGGCAGCAAAGGTTCTCAACTCTATGGAGGAGAGCTGGAGCGACTGAACTCTTTCAAAGAGCACAGTTTGTGAATATAGGGGAGTTTTAACATGTGTTACTAGGTTAAAGTTCACGTTATTCTCCACCAGAAGCTTATCTCACTGTGCTATCAAGTGTGAAAGCTACACCAGGCTTGCTTTGCATTAGAACTTGACTTTCACCAGAAAACATACTTTTTCCCTACAGGGAAAGAATGGAAGAAGTGAGGATGTGTCCCAAAAAAGCAGGAGTCTGGAGTTTCTTTCTGAGCTCTGACATTGACAACAAGAGCCCTGGTGATTTGCTTATGTCCCAGTTGTTACCTGAACACTACAGGATGAGTCTGTGGAGTGAATGGCTGTTTGTTCTCAACACATTCAGTTGTAAAATTAGAGTTGTCTATATTTCTAAATTAGTGTCAGGACCTCTAGAGGGAGAAGCAGAGTGCTAAAAGCCTAGGCAAGGCAATGCCTGTAGAAACAAAAGAACAGAAAAGGTAACACAAAATAAGTAACCAGTTTTCCTCTGGTCCCTAGAGAGCAAGGCCCTGCCTGGATTTGCCAGGTGTTTACAGCTGCTGTTCTACAAGACAGATGGTGGGTAGGCACAAGGATATGCCAGCAATTAGCAGTAGCACTCCCCTGCAGGCGTATTTGAAGTGTGATGTTGCCTGTTCTGTCCTTATGGTTTCATGGGGATAACCCAGATCCCAACACTGAGCCCTTTGTCTGCATTTCCACTTTGCCCGTCTCCTCTGCTATCAGCCCATGCCTAGCAGCTCGCTGGCAGCCCTGCCTGGTGCTGTTGGGGGGAGGACGCTGTTCGGAGCAGATACCAGGGGCTGAGGTGACATTCCCAGTTCAGCCTCAGCAAGCCTTTAGCAGGACTGTTTCCTGGAGGGCCGCCCAGTTAGGGGGAAGCATCTTCATCAGAGGCTGCAGAGGGGCATTTTGCCACTGGTGGGTTCATTTTGCATGGACCCCGTCTCCAAACACCACCCGGATGGTTATAGCTGCTGTTCTGCCCCAGCTGCTTCAGGGCTTTACCGGTCCTGTGCTGTCAGGGAAACACATGTTCTACTAAGAAGAGCTGCTGATGCAGGGGAGAAACTGTTCCCAACCTTAAGGGATGGTTGAAAGTTAGTTCTAAAATTCCATAGGCTCTACCCAAAACACAGAGCTTCCGTTTCAGGTGGAAATGGCCCAACATGCATTTGAAGAGTGTGGAGAGGGTGTGATGGGAGGAACACAGTAGACAACGCCATTCTGCCATCACCCTGGGATAGGGCTGAAACCTATGTGGCTGAAGCCTGATGTGGCAAAAGGAAGGGAAAAGCTGTTTGCAGCAGTGCCATAGCCTGGCCGCTCCCAGCTCTGGACCGTAGTGCCTGGACTTCCCTCTGCTCCTCTCTAGAGGATCAGTTGCTGAGACCTGGGAGCAGGGTCCCAGGTCCTGGATCCAGGATCCCAGCCTCCTGAAGGATGTGCCAAGAGCAGAAGGGATCAACAGGGCTTTCTAGACACAGGGTTTCTTATTCTGTGCTGTTTACTGGAGCCAGTGGGGACACTTACTGGATGCAGTCAGCTACAGAGTAGTGTGAGGATTGTACCACGGCTTGCAGTTCAGTGGCCTACTGCTTCCTGCAGTGGACTTTTGAATATACAAATACCAGGGGAGCATTTGTTCCACCTACACATCTATGTTTTCCTGAGAGCACTGACATATTGCCTTACCAAAACTACTCATTCTATATTTTCTATCAACAAAGTTACTTTGTCAGAAAAACATTAAGCACATGAATGCACACAGAGTCTCTGCTGAAATGGGAATTGAACAGCACTGGATTCTCCACCAGGGTGAGGGCTCAAGCATGACAGAAAGGAACCAGCTGCTGAAACCACACTGATGGGCACTTTGGGAACAGAATGAATCAGTAGGCAAAACAGGAGACATGACCCACTTAGCTTGCATGCTGGCTAACGAAGGATTATCCGATGAATAATGCAATATACCCATAATCATTTAACTCTCTAGAGCTTTCTGTGCTCTATCAGTGTGTCATGTAGAAGTCCAGCACTGCCTCTGATTGCATCTTTTCTAAGGAATTCCATAAAATGAAAAAAAAAAAAAAAAAAAAGAGGATCACCCTTTGCATTGCATAATATGCACAGAGTCCTTGAATATCTCACGATAGTTTTGTAACATACCCTTTTTCTCACTAGGTTGGATCACTGCAAATTCTGCCTGAGGCCACAGCAGCAATTCTGTTTGCTGCATTAAGGAGTGCTACCCAAGTAGTGCTCTGTGCTAATTGCAGTGGCCCATACTAAGAAACTGCTTGGATTTGAGCTGAACCTATAGGTTTTTAAGACATGCTTAAATTCAAGAAGCCTTCCACGGCTCTTGTCATTAAAGACTGCATCATGGAGCATCCGCCTGCAGGGATGACATAATGAGGCAGAGGGGAGACATAAAAGGTTTCAAATACTGACTAAAAGATAGAGGAACAATCTGTTCAAATGCCCGGCACTCCTTTCTGTCCTCTTCCACTGAGCTGTCTTCTCCTGATGTTGCAACCAGTTTGGCCAAATACAGGAGGAGGTGGGAAAGATCATCTTGTGCCTTTGGAAGTCTTTGAATGAAGAGTATAAGGGACTCAGGCACACAGAGTGGGAGAGATAACTGCTTAAATAGAAACACCGCTTAAATAGAAAAGCAGTCCACAGGATGGCAGCATAACAGCTCAAAGTATTCATCTTTCACTCTTCTGGGAGTCCAGTGTCTCACAAAAGGGGTACAACAGCACTAGTCTGCATCACAGCATGATGTTCTAGTGAAACCCTGGAGCACATGTCTGTCACAAGAAGCTGAGACAATGTGTGCTTGAGCAAGAAATGTTCCTCTACCTGTGTCTCTTGAGCTCTAAATCCAAGCCTCCGCCTGCAGATCTCTTTGCAGAATAGTCACGTTGAGTAGACAAACCTGAGTTGGCAATTTAATGCAGCTAAAGACAGCTCTGTGTCAGTGAGAGTGCTTCATTCTCTAAATGAGAAGTATATTCACCATTCCCTAGAACTCAGAGAAAAAAGACCAGGCTTCCCTCTGCTCCCCGGACCCACATTTCTGGTTTAGGGCTGCTTCCAAATTGGTGGGGACTGTTTCATGGATCAATGCCAGGCACAGGCCTTTGAGCCAGCTCATCAGGAGCCGACTGCTGAACTGGATGCTCTTGTTTTACAGCCAGTTTCAACCCACGATCATGGGAATTTTCCTCCTTCCAAGCGACTGAGGAAACACTTGGTACGGGTAATTCCGACTTCAGTTTGAAAGGATCTAACCCCCCGTGCCACAGCTTTCTAGCTGGCTAACCAACCTTTTCTGCTTTACCTCTCAGCTGTCCTGTCACCTGTCAATCACTGTCTCAGAGACCCATCTCTTAGCTGGCTTATCAGCACCATCTGCATACACCCAAACCCAGGGTCTCACTGCTTTAAGTGCTATGTATATAGGAGGGAAAGGCATCCCTGGTCCTCATTGTTCAGACAGTGAAAGAAGAAGATGGAAAGCATAGGTGCCAATTTGCAAAGATCCTGTGATACCTAACCAACTGAATCGACGGGAGTGCCAACATCATCCAAGGCAATCTGTGGAGGTTGTGTCAGAACCAGGAGTGGACTCCAAATACCCTCAGCCAGCCTCAGAAGCACAAGGCTGTTCTTCTCCATCACATGTACACCTTTTACTTAGCTCATAAATTCTCAAAGACAGAGCCTGCCCGATGTTCACTGTCTGTACAGCATCCAGCACAATGGGGAAGGGGTGCTTTGAACTAGTGTACCAAGAACCAGCAGCAGTGATCATGCCTTTTCTTCCCAGCTCCCCACCTTCCTTTTTCTTGCCTATATTTTCTTTGCTTCATTCATGCTCAGAGTGTCCTGCTTTTCCTTTCATTCAGAGGCAGCCTACAAGCATCCATGGCCACTCTACCTGGGGGAGCTCTGGTGACTCACAGCCACACCTAAGTCATTCCTGCTTTTCATGCCACAGGCAGGGCTGTCTCCCTCTCATCATCTCTGCTTTCAGATTCATTCTGGCAGCCCAGGCCTGACCCCAAGGAGGCCAGAAGGGGAAGCCTTGCTTTAATTTCAGTGGGCTTTGAATAAAGCCTCAACTGCTTGGAGGCAAGGGAGCTTTGGCAGTTATTTAGTTTTGCCTCATTAGTCCGGTCTCTGGAGATGCAGTTTACCTGAAAGGAAGCTGCTGCTCTTCAGTCACACCTGCATTCTGGGTCTCTCAAAAGAAAGGCTCTTCCCTACCTGCCTGGAGCATTGGGATCTCTTTATACTCGCACACTGTGTACAGCGGGACCCCACAACTGACTGCTCTCATCTGCCTTTTCTTACTAAGAGAAAAGGGACAAAGCTATTGGTTCCCATTTTCCACCAGGCTACTTGAAAGTAGTTTTACAGGCTGTGTTTTGAAATGCTTAGGCTTCCCCACTGCAGCATGCAACACCATGGAATAACACAACCTCTTCTGTCTTCCAGTAGGCAATGGTACTAAGCTGCCTTTTCAGTTCTCCTCGGTGGGACAGAATCCGCCCGGTGACTTCAGCAAACAGTCTGACGGAAGCCTCTTCACTAAGACCGGTACTAGGCATTTAGTTTTTTCCCCTTCCTTCTGCCTCTTTTTTAGGTGATAAGAAATTTAATCCTGTTCTTGCTCCCCCAGAGAAGGCCTGGAACAGTCCTACGCCCGGTCCATATCTCCTGCCCTGAGTGTCAATCTCTTAGATACATGCACATGTTTACATGAGCAACTTACTCTGCTGAACCAGGGCAACATGAGTTTATTAAAGAGTGTTAAAAAGTATTAAAACGTTATATCAAGTGAATAGTTGAAAGGGTTTTAAATTTTGTTTGTAAGGGGTAGAGATAAGAATCTTAGAGGCATATGGACCAGGGAGAGAAAGATACTAGGAAATTACGTTCATGGCCATTTACCCCTCTAACTTCATCAGTGTTTTAAAGCAGCTATCACCCTGAATGAATAATATCCACTGAGCACAACCTTTAAAAAAAATATGCAGTAGCTGCCAGTCCTCCTTTGTCTGAACCAGAATCCCCCGTTCACCGTCTCATAATCCTCTTTTCACTACCCACTAGTTCAAGGGCATCAGAGGTAGAATCCAAGAGCACACGCCAAGGAGAGTCAGGTTGGATTAATTTGCAAACATGAGATGGTGGGGACAGGCCATTGCCTGATAGCACTGAAACTGGTTGTGGTTCAGCAAGGCTGGTATTATGTTTGAATTGGAACAGAGCTGGTGTGGTAGAAGGGGGTTAGGGCTTATCATGCTGCCAGAGGTACTGTCATTAATTTCTGACAAGAAACCCAAGCCTCAGCTCTTTGCTCTAATTAAATAGTCTATAGTGTTCTTTGCAAGAGTCAAAATGGGTAGTTCAGGAGTTGGCCTAAATTTAATTGGACTGATTGCATTCTACCTCTCTGCATTCCTCAGACATTTTAATTAGACAGACCTTCTTTACTCCCTTTTCCTAACTGATTGGGTGGTGGAATAGGCATCTGTCTGACGGCTGCTGCGTCCCACCCCAGAAATGGCTGCATTTCCATGTTAAGCAATGCTATACTAATTATGTGGCACTCCCATTCCTGCTACTTGTCTTGATGCTCACAAGGGGAGAGGGGAATGGTGTCAGGGACTGATCTATAACAGGCTGTTTTATGTTGTCACAGCTTATCCTTCAATAGTGAGACATCAGTCTGCAAAGGTGACGCCACAGACATGGAAATCCTCTAAGCAGTCTGTATTGGTAAGAAATATACCCTTGGTGTGAAAGCATGTGCACAGCTTCAGCAAGAGAACTATCTGTTCTAGGGATACCTGAGACTTCAGAAACTAGGGTTTGGATCCTTTTGGAGATGGAAAAGCAAATGCTTCAAGTCAACAGCTTCTATTATTTTTTTCTGTGGTTAAATGCATCCACAGAGGGATGCAGATTAACCCTCCCCCACCCCCGCCTCCACAGCTCTGGGTTGTAGGAATAATCAGTACTTCAAAATGACATTTTGAAAAGATTTCGCCCTGGTCTAAAATTTGATCCAGGCTTCTAGAAGCTATACAAATACTACAACACACATGCTGCTATTTGTAGTACTTTTCCTCCCTGCAGGGATATCATAGATTTTTAGTAGTCTGTGACATCTAGAAAGCACAGATTGTGTAAATGACACCAAAGACGACCATATAAAAGTATCTTGCTAATTACATCCTGCAGTGGGCAGATGCAGTATCAAAGATGAGGGGTCAAACTATGATCACTAGAACATCTGTATATCACTCATTTAGCACGGTTAGCACAAAGCAGGTAACAGTGCAATATAAGGGGCAGAGAACAGTGATATTTTAGGTCTTGTGTTCTTAAATATACAAGGTTAACAAACAGTTAATGCATAACCACAAAACACTAAGTTCATCTATTTTTCTTAACATCCACTCATACTGTGCTACACTAAGAACTTGCATGATCTGAATTAAGATTGTCAAGTTTTTGCCCCCATTGCTGCAGATGAAATCTATTTTTTGAATTCTGATTATACATTTGTGAAAGATTATTTACTGTTCCCTGGAAATAAGATTTGTAAGAAGAAGAGGGTCAAAAATTGAGAGCAATCTCACGCTTGAGGTACGAAAACAGAGGAAATACACAACAGGTAGAAAGTCGCTGCCTATGGACTGCAGCTCTATGTCTCTGCTAAATTTTCAAGGCTCCACCATGAGACAAATTCCTGTAAAAGGAATATTCCTTGGTAGACTGTATCACTTTCAGAAAATTCAGCCTTAAGTCTGTGACTGTGCTACAGTAAAACATATCTCCTAGGAACATCAAACTTTCACAGTATCTTCTGTCTTGTGTTTGATCACCACCTTTCTAAAAGATCATCTACTTCATCATGTGTGTGCTCAGATGGAGACTCTTCCCAGTGATTTTAGATACCAACCTATCCTTCCTAATGGTGGTGTTACGCTGGGGAAGTCTGGTCAGGAAAGTGCAGCCTCTGTTAGCACTGGCCATTGGTAGATGTGTGTAGGGTCATTTTAGCAATAAGCACCCCACTACACAACAGTCAGTGTGCTGTGCTCAATGAGCACAACCCATGCTTTCCTTAATCCCAATAGAGAAAGCCTGGGTAACTTCTCCCACATGAAGCCACTAATATTTTTCTGTCTCCCTTTCTCTCTCATGCATACACGTGTAGTGGCTATTTTATTTTTATAGCCTGTATTCACCAGATAGCCCTGAACCGAACAACTGAGTTGATAAATATAAGCATTAAGAAATCCCAAAATAGAAATACATGCTCTGGACTGCAGTAGCTCTGCAGGAGTTTTTATGGTCTATTGGGCCAATAATCTATCTTTTAAAATAGTCTTAAATGTGTATTTAAGTGATACACGTTCTAAGAGTTCTGTAAATATGAATTTTCATGAAGGACTATCCTGTTTAAGGAGGAATGTATTTTTAACCCACAAGGAGTTCTTTTAAATGAAGCCCTCCTCTTCCATCTCTTAATTATATTGGAAATTAAAGCCATAAAATGAAAAGAATTTCAACAAAAGAGAACATTGAGCAGGAGGTATTCGAAGTTGGCACAGAGCAGCAAGGTGGGCTGGGTTTGGTCTGCCTATGCTTCCAGCCTCCTGCTGTGACTGATATTAACTAGTCCACTCCACAAAAATGTATCAGTGTGTTGAGGTCTGTCCTACCTTCTGCAAGTGAGATCTGGGTAGGGATAAACCTAAAACACATCAGAGGTTACAAAACCACAGTTTTCCTGATTGCCTTGGTCACTGCTTGATTGGTGTAAGCATATTCTCATCCAGGCTAGAGATTTTGCCTTGAACAGTGCAACCAGTTATCACAATCAATAAACTGGCTCTTGTGTTTTGCAGTCATCCCAAGCAAACAGTAGGCTGCACAACACAACTTTGCCATGTGTTGTTTATTTGTAATGGTGCAGGTAAGAATTAAATTCCAGGGGTAGGTCCTGATGAGATACAATGAGACTGCAGTAAACAGAGCTGGACAGACAGAAAATGGCAATTCCTTTAGGCTCTGCCCCTGTCTATTCACTTACACTTCTGTTTACACAAATATTTAGTACTGGGCTCTGCAACATAGGGAGGCATGAATAAACAATACACCATTGTGTGAGAATTTCCATGCACAAGAGTTTTGACTTTCCAGACAGAGAGCACAAATAAATACCATGTGGCTTAGTTGATCACTCACATAACTGTGTGGCTTTAAGTGTGAAAACTCCCATGAGTTCTCAAGTTAGCAAGCAATTAAAAGACACTGACAGAAGCATAAAAATAAAGGTGACATTCCTCTTCTCCCAGAAACCTCTCATCAAACTATGAGTCATAGTCTGAGATTTTATATGGTGCACAGACTCATTTGGCTCAGGAATGAGGTCCATGCAAAACATGTATATAAATCAAAAAGCAACACCATTTGCATTTGATCACTCCAGCAACTCCAGTAGTGAAATGAGGTGGTGTTGTTCTGCAAGAGGAAAGACTGAAGGTGTTAAGATAGGAGTATGTTAACATATGCATGGTTGGGCTACCTAGAAGGGTAAAGTATAGGTGGTCAGAAAAAGAAGGTAGGTCAAACTCACATGCCCCAAATTCTCCATTGCAGTCACATTACCGCCCCTTTTACGTCAACAAAGGCAATGGAGCCACTTCCAACGAGGCACCTTGATTCCTGAAGATTTAGGGAAGAGCTGGCAGCACTTGGAGTGAAGACTCAGCTGTGGATTTTCATGGATGTACCTGCTACTACATTAACCTTACTGCTCTAATCTCTGCCAGGGAGAGGGAAGGTGCAGAAGGGAATAGCCTTTACTAGAGGAAACAAGGACTTTTTCCAAATCACCTTGAAAGTTCTGCAGGCCTTAACAACATAACCCCATCCTCTGCTGTCACCTCTTTATTCCCTCTCTGTCAATGCCCTTCACTTTGCTTCTGCAGAGCAAGCTGCTCTGCTTCTCCTGGGAAGCATGCATGCTTGGGTAGCACCCCCCCCCCCGACTCTGCTATATCAGTTGCCTCACTGTCCTGAGTGTGTTTATATGACCATAGCTGTTAAATCCTGGTGAAGGTCCCAAGCTGGGGGGGGCCCAAAGGTCTTCCTAGAATGGAAAGGTTCCAGCCAGCCCCTAGGAGCAGTGACAGGATAAAGCCCCTCCCATGCCTCTCTACCCTGTCACCCAGCCCTGCCTGGGATGGGGACACACAGATCTCACTGGGGTCAGGGCCCACGCTTCCACCTCCCTGAGATCCCTGCAGACATCCCCCCAGCCCATGCCCGTGGCAGCACGCTTCCTCAGGGCCCTTTGTCAGCTCCGTTCTGCTCCTGCTGCCTTCTAAAAAGCCAGCCAACAGGACCTATTCGGAGCTGCAACAGCCCAAGGCCAGCTGCTGGTGGAGGAAAGAGAGGCTTTCTATCCCATTAAAGTACCCCTCCAGCCACCTTTTCAAATTAAAAAATGAAAAGAAAATCCATCCTACTAAAATAAGATTGATTAGATGCCATAGGTGTTGGGTGCTTCTGTGTTTTGTTTTGTGGTTGTTTTTTTAATTCCCCTAAATGAAAATTGAGTTATGTATTGTGGTTCAGGTATTTTATTTTTTTTTTGCAGTGGGCAATGAGAATTAGAACCATAGCTTTCTGCTCAGGATAATATTTTTTTATTTGTACCCTGGACAGACAAATCACATCAGCACCCAGCCTGTAAACCACCCATGATTGGTTAACCTTTCCATGATCTCACTGAGATTATTTTCCTTCCCCTTGAACAATGCTGAGAGGTTCAGTCCATGCTGTGCAAAAACCTCCCCAGCCAGTCAATGGGAGCAGATGACCCGCTGCAGGATCAGAGCCCTCAAATGGTGATAGGCAGCTGCAGAGCAGAGAACCGAGACCTAACAGCTACTCTTCATGGTTTGCTCTGTTCAAGTGGTTTTTTGAATGGCTTCCTTCCACCTTTCCTACCCCCAAATGCTTGCAACACCTTGCTGAGAGAGGTCACGCCTATCCCTCCCTGACGATTACTTTTTTGCTAATCCCTGTGCAAAGATACGCACTGCTTTTTAATCCAACACCTCGACAAAGCTTCTGAGGCTGAAAGTTGGCTGCTCCAGATTACATGAAATGGAATTTATTTTATAATTTTTTTTTTTTTTCCTTAATGACCAGAGGGTAATGGGATAGCATGGTAAGGAAGGATGTGAAGAAAGGGAAACTGGGATAGAGTTGCTAGGAAATACACTGAGGGATTTGAGTATGTGTGTGAAAGGATAAACTAAGCCCCCCACCCCAATCTCACTGTTTTGCCCCCGCACAGCGTCCAGTAATCACTTGGGTCCCTTATGTTCCAGTAAAAGCTTCCACCGTCTTCTACTTTCCAAAATGTGGGCATGATCCCTCCTCCTCTGAAACTTGGATATTAAAATCCCCCCCTTCTTTCCTGCCCTAAAGAAGGCCTGCTGCAGTGCCAGCCGGCATCTGCACTGCCCCTCGCCCAGCATACGAGTGACCGACCGGTCTGAGGGAGCAAGTGTCCCCTTCCTCCCACTGTCCCCCCCCACCGGCTCTGCCCTTCCCCACCTCTGCAGCCCCCACAGCCTGTTTGCTCCCCTTCCTCTCCTCACTTCCAGGGCCTCACTCAGACCTCACACACACGACTTTTCACACCAGCACACTCTGGCAGCGGGAACGGAGCTTCTCCCCGTTTGTGTTAGTCTTGGAGGATGCCAGGCCTCCCCCTTCCAGCCCCGCTGGTCTCCCCACAGGCCTCTGCCTCACTGGGGGAGTGCGGGACGGGACACAGCTCTGGCCCCGCTCTGCCTTGCAGTCCCAGGGAACTAGCTTTGAGGTGTATTGTGCATGAACTGTTTTTGTCGTGTTTGTCTTGATCAGCAAAGCAAGAGGAATTCCACCTCCTCAGACAGGACACGACTGCGCTGATGTAAGTGAGGCCCTTCGCGTGTGCAACACATACTGCAGAAATAAAGGAGAAAGCTCCATGTCTGACCAAAAAACCCTGGGGATGAGGTCTCTCTCTGTCTTTGGTGTTTGTACTAAGAGTCTCACTGAGGTTAAGTGTCTTCCAAACAACCTTTATAAGAGTTGGGGTTTGGAGAACCCATTTTCCCAGCTTCTGGAAGCTTTGTTTTCACTGCTTTCTGGATATTTTGAGTCAGTGTCATATCAGCTCAGAGAAAACTCCTACATCCTTATCCTTGAAGGTCAAACCCAGACTGATGGAAGCACTTCTAGTACAATACAGTACTTTGGGACTACCCTGCAGATATGCCCCACTGAGTCAGCTCCCTGGCCTCACAAGTCCTTCCCTGCAAGGGCATTTCTAGAAGCCCCTCAGCCTGTGGTGGTTTGTGATTTCAGTATCTCTCCCCTGCCAAAGTTAAACCTCACCAATTCCCAAGGAGGAAAGTGCTTGCTCACATATACACAAGCCAATATCAGTCTGGGAGAGACCAGGCTGCAAGGAGACCAGCTGAGCTGAGGCACAGTTTTGCCCCAGCCTGGACCCGTGTCTCCCTGGGAGGTTGGTGCTGGACACCATTGGGACCCTCCACCCACTTGAACCCTTCTGGTGATATAGGCCTCTGGTTCCACATGGCTCAAATTTCTCCCCTGTATCATGGCTTCTCTTGTCTCTGAGGAAGAGAATAAATCCCTTGTGGCTTGCTAAAGGTGTGGATTCAAGGCCGGACACATACAGAGGTAGCCCTGACAGCTGCTTTAAAAGAGCAATTTTACATGTGAATATGTGGGGGTAAGAACAGGAGCAGGCAATGTTTATTCATTTGCCCTAGATAAACTAAGGCAGGGAGCTTTCCACAGGACGCCTAGCATATTTCCGCTCTCAGGTACTGGATACCAGCTATTTTTCCCCAGACAGTCGTTCCTGAAGAGCAAGGGTACTACCAATTCACTTGAGAAGCCAGTAAATCATCCTTGTTTACCCCACATGGGAGTTACCAGAGAACAGAGCCTAGCTCTTTCTCATCAATTCCTCTCACTGCCTCCATTACTGTTATTACTGTGATTAAAAAGCAATCAAAGAGAAATCTTCTTTCTGTCCTGAAATTGCTGCAAACATCTCAGTTCCACCATTTAAGCATGAGAAGAGAAAGTGACAAGTGCACTCTGCACTCCTGGACTCTGTGACATTAGAAAATAAATAATGGAGCTCATCACCTGAGCAGTCAGAGGCAGCGAGCAGGACTGACTGTGCCTGCAGCCTGGGGATGGAGTAATGAATCTTGCAGCTGCAGGACTGAGTTGCACTGGCTTAGAGAATCTAGTCAGAGCAGCCCCAGACATGGCATAATGAACTTTGCAGCCTGAAGTGCAGTCTGAGCTCAGCGCTGCTGCACACCCAGCTAGGAGACCAAGGACAACCATGCCAGCTGAAGGAGACAGGACTGCTTATCTCCCTCTACTCAGGCAGACTGGAGGGGTTGAACCTGGGATCAGGCATCAGCTCTCCATCCCAAGGAGATCCCTGGGAGAAGGGAAGGGGGTGATGGGTCTCTCTGATCCAGCCAGCAGCTGCAGAAGGGCAGAGGACACTTGGACAATCAAAGCTGGGCTGTCAGAGCAAGGCTCAGTGACAAAATTTACAGTCAGGGTGACTCAGAGGGAAGCAAGTAGCCGTGACACCTCTTTGGAGGGCCTGGATGCTGACCAAATCAAGAACAGTCTTCTCCCTCTTTCACCCCCAGCAATTTGCAATTTCCTTAGTGTTTGGGCTTCTAGATCTAGTTTCTGGGCCCAGAGGTGGCTGTTTCTCAGCACAGACTTTATTTGTAAACCCCCACTTCCCACTAGAGCAACCTCAGCCTCTCCTCTGCAGGTCACAGTTTTATCTTTGTACATATTAACTATAAAGTCTTAAAATGAACAGTTCTTCAGGGGCATAAACAAGAATAATAAAATCTAATTGCTTGTGAACGTTGAAATTTTTGCAACATTTTAGTAACATAAATTTGCCACTCTTGCACAAAGATAACACAGAAATAAAGTGTTTGAAATTGCTAATTAGCAAGCGCAAAATACAGAGAAACGTTCTTAAAACTACTGGGATGTTCAGGCAAAGACTATGATATCTTCTGAATTTTCATTGCCAAGAATCTGATCTTTAGAATTTTAGCTTCTTGGGCTACAGACCTTGAAATGATGCAGTACAACAGAGCACTTCCTCCAGACTATGCTGGAGCCAAGGGGCACAGTGACACCAGTTTCAGACCTGCAGTCAAGGCCAAATTCTGCCTTGAATTTTTCATAATCTTAGGGGCTAGTTTAGGACCTGCCTTCAAGAGCTCACTTACTACATGTAAAGTTAAGTACATGGATCTGTCACGCTTGGGATTGGGGCTGGAAACAAATGGGGAATACTTTGTATCTACAGATATGGTAGAACTGGTAATTCTACTACCTCAATGTGTGACAAGAAAAAGCTTTTTCATCCTGTTAAACTCTTGTGGACCAGCTCACCACAGCTCACAGATGTTCAAGTAGAAAATGCTCTATTGCCTGGTACCTGTCTCACAGCACAGTCATCCAGACAGTACCCCAAAAAATAACAATGAGAAATACAAAACTGGCTCACTATGTTCTTTTTACCCCAACTTCTTTTTCTACTCGGATTTTTTAAAAACTCTCCATTAACTCAATAGAAATAATTGTTGAAATAATTCTTCTAAATAGAAAGAATTGTAGGGAAAGTCCTTACAGGTTAATATTTCCCTTAACCTGATGAAAAAAACATTTAAGCCAGATAAAACATTCACAGATAGTTGTGGTAACTGATTTGCACACTTTAGTGCACTTAAATCTTACACACTTTGATCAGGCATGTATCTAGTCCTGGACTAGTTGGCATGCACTGTCAGACAACTTCCTGCATATTAGAGCAATGAAGGATAGACTTTTTCCCCTTTCTATCACTTGTTATTACAGGATCTTCAGTGTTTGTAAATATGAGTTTTCAACACTTTCTCCCTGAGAAGGTAGGCAAGAATGGCCTGCAGTTCCCTCCTTAGCAGGAGAGAGGCACAGACCAAAGAGAGCAGCTGCCGTGGCACTGCTGATGCTGAACTCTGTGCTCTTAGATACATTTTAGGGAGGATTTCAAGCAGATACTGTCAAACTCTACCTTGGACTGTTTGTTGACTCTGATAAGGCCTGATACCAGATGCTTTATGATAGCGTTAGTCAGTCTCCCTTGTATTGTACTGTTGGGCAATCTTCCTACGGCTGGCACCCTATACCTGGTTAGTCAAACTTTGACGAGCTCCAGGAAGAACCTGATGAGTCCTAGGTGTCCCCAGGTCCTGCTGAAGTTGGGGTGGGCTAAAGGGGCCAACAGATCCCAAGTCACCAGGAAGAGAGTCTGCACATTAACCCCTGCATCAGCAGCATCAACTTACACTGATTTTATTAAATAGCTCAGCTCCAGAGTTGCTTGTGAACTGCTTTAGGGTCCCTTCAACTTGAGTGCCACAGGACAGCTGTCTGGGTTTTACAGGGACATGCACAGAAAGTCTTTTTGTGGGACCCTTGAGAGACACCTTTCTCAAACCCCACAGCAATACCATCAGCACTCGAGAGTCCAGCCTTGCATTTCCCTCCTCCAGCAGTTTGACAGACCCCATTACCTTTTCACGTGCCATTTGGCTGCTATCAACAGCAAGAAAGCTTCTTAACAGGGAAACCTTTAAAGGCCACAGCCTGCATACATGTGGTCTTTACATGGAGCCTCCTTCAAAGAAAAGATTTACTTTACATTTTCTCTTCCCACTCGGGACCTCCAGGGGACGACAGCTCCATAGTCATGCTTTCCTGCCTACTTATGGATTCTGTGAGTACTTTCCCATTGCAAATCCTGGAGGAATTAATATCCACTCTGTAATCTACTGGCACCAACAGGCATTATCTAACTAAACCTTAAATTGAAAATGCTAGTCTTTCCATTTTCCCCAAGCTGCTGTGAAAAAGTCGGGTTAGCGTAGTCCAATATAATTTACTCTCATTCTAATTAAAATACACGAGTCAGCTCTTCCTGGCAAGATACTCAGCTGGCTGATGCTATGACTGTTGAAGGCATGTCAGGACCTGTGCAGAGCTGGCGGGTGGGACAATGCTGCCCCAGGTCTCACAGACTCACTCTGCTTTATGAGACATGCCTCTATTCTGCCTCCTCGCACAACAGTAGGAGCAGCATATGCCGAATTCTCCACTCCTTTGTTTTGCTGTGGCTCTGATCAGTCAAGTTTTGGCCCTGCTGGGGCCAAGGATTGTCACTGAGGGCATCCAAAAATTTGTCCCGACCCATTACCAAACCTCAGCAGCAGTGATCAGCAAGGAAACTGTTAAGTGTCGTGTTTGGTTCTGTAAGCAATGGATACTGATCCGTGTCCACAAAAACACCCTCCGCCTAGCCCACTTCACAGGCATCTGATGGCAACAGCAGTGGCTACCTGGCTGGGCTAGCAAACACACGTGACTGGGCTTACAGTGGTGACCTAGTAGGGAGGAGAACAGGCAAGAGGGACCCTAGATACACATTTAGTGCAGACAGACAACCAGCAGTATTCATTTACGACTTCCTGTTTTATTAGAAAAAAATAAAAACTCTGAGTCCCAATCAAACCTGTTGTATGTATCAGGTTTCCACATGGATAGGGTATAGATTCTGCTCTGTAGTAATCAATCCCCACTGACACACAGCAAATGGAAAATTGAAACTTTTAGGGGGAAATCAGTCAGTAGATGCAAGAACAAAGACAGTATTAGAATGAGCTGCAAAGCAAGTACATCTGGTTCAGTAATCCATCTGACAGTACCAGATGATTCAATGGAAAATGCCAGTAGACAGACGTGGGATAAACTGTGTTTAGGGAGAGCTATTTCCCCATGACCCCAGCAGTTAGTACTTAGTTTATGTCCTTAATTAATACCACTTGTAGTATTTTTAAGTCCTATTAACTACATATCTGACGTGGCTCCCTAT